AAAGTAGGTAAAAAAAAAAAAAGTAAAAATTCAAAAAAGCAGGTTAAAAAGAAAGAGAAAAAAATAATAAAAAAAAATAATAAAAAAGTATTTACAAAAAAAAAAGGGAATTCAAGGAAGATAGGACAAGCTTCGTTTTCAGCTTGTTACCAGGTTGGCCAGCTGAATTAAAAGAAGCAGAAAAAACGACACAAAAAAGAAAAATCAAGAAACAGCTTTGAAGAGGCCAACTATAAATTTTTTTTTTCCTTGTAATGAATGGGTAGGTACGGGCTAGCCGGATTGCTGGCCTGAGGCAAATATCATAAAGAAAAGAAAAGGAAAAAATTTTTATTTGTGTTCACGTTGGAAGTTCATTCAACGGTTGATATACGGCAGACACACAATAGACGTATGTGCGTTAACTTTATTTATAACAGCAGTCACTCTGTCTCACCTGCTTTGTATATTCTCAATTGTAAAATAATATACAATTTTATTAATCACTCAATCACCTTTATTTCTCACTCCGCGTTCATATACCGCCGAACTTTAGCAATCGCTTGCTTACTTACTCATCAATTTATTGCGTATACACGTATGTGACAGAGACTATCTTATTATAATATCTTAACAGACAACAACTTAATTAATCATGAGCCAGACGAAAATCAAATGAACTCTGAAATTTCTTTAAAAAGGGTTTTTTATCAAAAAGTCAAATTGTGCCTTCGTGAATTACAAGACACATGATGCCGTCATGCAGGCCGCTTGTAAATATAATGAAAGCGGTACGTGATTATTTGTTGTATTTTCTAAATGTACTGGATATTTTCTCATGATATACATTCGTTCTTTTAGAGTTCAAAGGCATTAAACTTGTTTGTCGACCAAGAAAGGTAATTTCGTAACGGGTTTCTATTTTATTTCATGTTTAGTTATATTTGTCATAGTTATGCTATTTTTTTATGATAATCTTAGCAAACCCCTGCGGATCTGAAGTTAAAATCATCAGAAACTTCATCAGATTTAGCTTCAGATAACACTCCTCCTCCTACTCCTTCTGAAGCAGGTTCTACAACTTCTTCTAGATCACGAAGGTCGTCATTACCTCCACGACAACGGATCAGACAGTCTTCAGTTGCTTCGATGTCTCCTGCTTCGTCAGTTTCATCCGCTAAACCTTCATCACTTAATAGATATTTCATTCTTAAATCATTGACCCAAGATGATCTTGATATTTCTGTTAAAAGCGGATTTTGGGCTACTCAACCGCACAATGAAGCAGCGTTGAATAAAGCTTTTAAAGTACGACCTTAATATTTCGTTAGCTTTTGTTATTGAATTTATAATTACTTAAAAACCTACTTATTATTTCTCTGTTCCTTTTTTGTAGAGTGCTGAAAACGTGTATCTTATTTTCAGTGCTAATAAAAGCGGCGAGTTTTATGGCTACGCAAAGTGAGAACTAACAACATTTTGAATGAATTTATAAATTATAACCTTTTCAATATTTAATCCGTTGATTTATAGGATGGTGAGTCCAATTAGCAAAGAGACAACAGAGACTGTACAATGGACACCTATTGATGAAGCTGCTTTAGCGGCTTCATCATCACGACCTTCATCAGTCCAGGAGGATATGAAAACCCGATTAAAAAAATCTCAAGATGAGGAAAATGAAGATTGTGATGATGATGTTCCATCGCGAAACTGGGGAACTACTTTTAAAGTTGAATGGATTAAAGTGTGAGTACTTTTAAATCTGTAATTACTATCATTCTCTTCTCGCAATTACGCATCTTTATCTCATTTTATTTGGCTATTTCGTGTGTGTAGGCAAAAACTTCCATTCATGCGTACGCGACACCTCCGTAATCCTTGGAACGCGAATAGAGAGGTGAAAATTAGCCGAGATGGTACTGAAGTTGAACCTATTGTTGGTGAACGTTTAATTACAGAATTCCACAAGACACCTCCTTCAACAGTTCCAGCACAATATATGCCTATCAACGGTCCTTTATTAACTCAACCGTTGAACATCGATAATCAAAGCACTGATAATGATGTAAAAGACCGGTAAGAACAAATAATATATATTGAATTTTAATATGGGTTTATAATTTTTTCTAAAGTATTGTTAATTCTCGAAAAAAATTTTTTACACGCTTTTAGGAGAGCATCGTTGTCTTCCCAAAGTGGAGCATCATCATCGGTTCAAACTACCTTGCAACCAGTGATGGATCCAAACTTTATTTCAAATGCTCAACCAACATTCTTCCCACCACCCAGTTACTGGCATCCCCAACATATGATAATGCCTCCATTTGGTACTGGAACTTCAGCACCAGGATACATTCCTACTCAACAGGCATGGACAACATCCGTTCCTAAAGATTCATCTGGAGTCAGTCGTGTACAGCCGCCACAGTCAACCGGCGTGCCGTCAGTGATGCCTTTGGAGCAACAATATGTGGAGGTAATATGGGTAAATATAGTCACCCAAGTATCAAACGAAGTATCAAATGGGATGGTTGATAAGATTGTTTATTAATTTTGTATTCAATTGATTTTCTATTTTAGACTCCCGTTCCTCAGCATCATTATCCTTCGGCTCCTGCTCATCAATTCTATCCTAATAATTCTGGCAGTGCAGTAATTGCACAATATCAACAAGCACAACATTATTATCGCAATTCTGAAGAACAATATCAAGCGACTTCTCAGCCACAGCAAGAGCCAAATTCGGAAAATGTGCCCTACCTGGTCGATGAACAAAGAAAAGGCATTGAGGCCACCAGTAGTGCATAGGAAAATTCGATGAAGCAATTGTTTAATTTGTTAATTCATTCAAAATGTTGTTAGTTCTCACTTTGCGTAGCCATAAAACTCGCCGCTTTTATTAGCACGGAAAAGAAG